CATGCCCATTGGTTATGCTTATATGCATGCATACAAGTCTTTCGGTTGATCTCTTACCGCCCCCCCTCCCCCAACCCTCTCCCAGGGTACCTGTGGTAGTTTGACAGTCTGTTCGATGCTTTGTTTTGTGCTCTAAGAGGGCACTTCAGCCTTACTTCTAGGTTCTGGTATTTTCAAAAAGGCATTCTTGTCTGTGGATAGTTGTGAGTCCATATTTTTGTGATTGGATACTAGAGCCTATATGTCCTATTCCACCATTTTGCTGATCTTAGTCACCCTCTTTGATTCTTTAGAAAGAGAGATAGAAAGACAGAAATTGAAGGAAAGAGGATATAAAAGGAAAGGATTGAATAAAATATATTCAGTCATTTAAGGCAAATGGGTAATTTGATAAGATTTTGCAAAGTCCACTTCCTTTGCCTTTCATTTCCAGAGAATATATCTAATTTATGAATAATATTTACTATATATTTTATTTATTAAATATTTCAGATTATAAAATATAGGTCAATAGACAGGAGTTTATGGGGTATGAGCCTAAGCTGGGGAAGGGGGGAAATTTCCCATGCTAATCAAAGTCCAATTGCCATTAAAAATAAATCTTCAATGCCTTCTCAGTGGAAAAAGAATGAAGGGAAGGACAGGGAGAAAAAAGAATAGAAATGGACATAGACAGGAAAGAAGTGAAGAGAGTAGGGAACAAAGACACAAATAAAAAGATTGAAAATAAACAGAGGGAAAGAAAAGAGAGACACTCCAAAGTTATAATGAAGAACACATTCCATAATTTTGTATGAGAATTATTTGCTAAATTAAAAATAAGCCTTATTTTTCATGTTCATATAAAAAGGTAGATTGTGAATACACATACAATATGTATTGTATTTTGAGCTTTGAGTAAACAGATGGTGCTTACTTAGTTTAGGTAGAAGGGAGTGGGTAGGGTAGGAAAGTGGGAAATTGCCTCATTTGGGAGACCTGCTAAAGCCAAATGTGGGTGGAGAAAAAGAGGTGAAAAATAAAAATCTCTGGCAAGAAAGATAATGGAGCAGTCAGATTGGATGGATCTTTGGGGATCATTTAAGAGAAGTTGGCCTTTATTCTTTGAGAGATGGTAGTCTTGAACAAAAGAGAGACCAAATCTGACTTACGTTTCAATATGATCATTTCGGCTGCTGTGCAAAGAATGCATTGAAGAGGGCAAGAACAGAAGCAAGACCAGTTTGAAAGCTTTTATAGTACTCTAGTGGCTTAGATCAGAGTGGTAGTGGTGGAGGTGGTGAGAAGTTGTCAAATTATGTATATATAGTATTTGGAGAAAGAACTGTCAATGTTTGGTGTTTGATTGGGTATCTGTGTGTGTATGCATGTATGTACATGAAGGTATGTACAAGGGGGAGAAAGAGAGAGAGAGAGAAAGAGAGAGAGAGAGAGAGAGAGAGAGAGAGAGAGAGAGAGAGAGGGAGTTCAATGATTATTCTAACTTTTAGAAGAATTTTATTTTGACCCGTGCTTCTGAGAGCTACCATATACTGAGATGGGGAAAATCTGTTGGACAAGCCAGTTGAAGGGGGTGAGAGATGGGGAGAGTAAAATCTATGACTTGGACATCTTAGGTCAAGGTACCTATTAGATCCCCAAGTGATGATGTATATGATGTATAATAGGTAATTGAATGCCTAGGTCCAAAATAGTGTAGTGAACCCTAAGTCTGTGTATGAAAGTACCACAAACTGGGTGGCTTAAAACAATAGAAATGTATTATCCCTCAGTTTTGGAGGCTACAAGTCTGAAACAACATGTTGGCAGAGTTTGTTTCTTTTGGAGGTTCTGAAGCAGAATCTGTTCTGTGCTTTTGTCTCTTAATTTCTGGAGGTTGCAGTCTTTGGCATTCCCTAGCTTGTGGATTTATCACTCCAATCTCTGCCTCTGCCATCACATGTCATATAACATCACCCTGTGTGTTTTTTTCTTTATAAGAGCACTAGAGGCCCGAAGCACAAAATTCATGCAAGGGGCTCAGCCCTTACAGCCCCTCGCAGCCTTGGCCCTTGCAGCCCCAGCTTCGTCCTGAAGGTCATCCAGACAGTCATTCTGCTATTTGGTCTAATTAGCATATTAGCCCTTTATTATATAGGATTATTCATAGTGTATTACAGCCCATCCTACTCCAGTATGACCTCATCATAACTAATTATATCTGCAACAACCCTATTTCTAAAGAAGGTCACATTATTAGGTACTCAGGGTTAGGACTTTACCATCTCTTTCCAGGAGACACAATTCAACTCATAACAAGTAAGGAAGCCCACTAAGAAGATATACATTGGGGATTGTCAGAGTTTGATGTATTATTTAAAGACACAGACTGAGACAGCAAAGGCAGTGATTGAGACAGAAAAGAGTACAAGTCCTGACATCCTCGAGTGTTTAGAAATGTGAAGGAATCAGCAAAGGAGACTGGAGAAGTAATGAGGTAGGGGGAAAACCAGAAGAGCATCATGGCCTAGAAATTCCTTGAAGAGAGTCATTCCAGGAGGATGGAGGGCTCGACTGTGTAAAATGCTTCAGACAAATCCAGTAAGAGCTATAATTAACTATTGAATTTAACAAAGGATAATAATTAGTACCTTCCTTACAGGGTTGTTGGAAGGGTGCAAAGTAAATACTCCCAAAACACTCAAAGTTTTTTGGCACATAGTAAGATCTTAATTATTTTTTAAAAAAATATTTTTTATTTATTTCACTACTTCATGAGATCTGGTTTCATGGATTTGGGAGGTGCCAGGATGTTTTGAATATAAGGTTAAGGAGCTTTGTGAACTGAATTGGAAGCCACCTCAATCCAATGTTTGTTCGGTTACATACCACCTAATTTTACTTTCTTTCCAGGAGAATATGTTGTCATGACAACCCACTTCCACCTCAAGAGAAAAATTGGCTACTTTGTGATCCAGACCTACTTGCCATGCATTATGACTGTCATTCTGTCACAAGTGTCTTTCTGGCTGAACAGAGAGTCTGTTCCGGCTCGCACAGTCTTTGGTGAGTGTCATTTTACAGAGAATGAAGCGGGGGGGAGACATTTTCAAAGTGTTATGATGGGCACTCAGAGTACGTGTGAGAAGGTAGAAGAACCATTACTGGAGATAATGGGAGCAACACCTTATCCCAGCATTAGTAACTGAGTCATTAGATCCTGGTATTTCAGACAACTAAACTCTTAACAAAGAAGTGGGAATAAGAAGAGTGTTGAAGTAGTAAGGTTACTGCAGTGCTTACTGTCTCAGTCAGGCTTCTTCCAAGATCTGGGGAGGGTTGGAGAGTTTAGTGAAAAAGAGGAAATTAATGAGCAGACTCCAGAAGGTGAAGGTTGGGAAACTAAACTGAAACAGAGAGGAGGATTGGAAGAATTTTTATAACCCATTTTTTTGTATGCACATATAACCTTGCTACTTCTCCTCTAGCCTTTTTGAAAGTATGAATCATCTGGTATTTAATAAAGGCTATACAGTTTGTAGGTTTTTTAATAGTACCTACAATCAGAGAAATTTTCTTCAATATAAATTTACTGATGTCTAGGGAAAGGCTTGTATATTATTACCACTTTTCCCTGGGAGAATTACAGCATATAACATTTTTCTGTTTCTGCACTGTAAGATTTTTTAGGAGATAAATATTAATTAACTATTTTAGTCTACTAAACTGCCTCCATGGCATGGTGGCTGTGAGTCATATACTTGGGTATGCTGCATATCCACACAGATGCCCAATATTTCCTACCAATTTTCTGAAGTTATACAGTGTACTTAAGTAGTAAATGATGTTTCAGAAAAAAAGCAGTATTTTAGGTCAGGTAGAGAAGGAGATAGCAATGGATAAAGAAACAGTAACCTATAAAGTAGGAAAAATAAAGTAGAAGGGTGTAGTATTATAGAAATCAAGAGAAGAAGAGTGTTTCAAGAAGCAGGGAATAATCACCTGGGATGAATTCTATTGTGTGTTTAGGTAACATGCAGATAGAAACTGTATGTTGAGCATGATGATATGATTGGTTGTTAGTGATTTTGAAAAGAATAGTTCTAGTGAAATGGGGGGAGCAGAATCTATATAGGAGTAGATTAAAGGTGCCCATTTTTGAAAATATAACAAATTAAATATCCTAAAAAATCTTTCTTTACAAATCCTAGAAAAGCTAGTGAAACATAGGAACCATCCTTTTTAAAAAATATCTGAGCTCATAAGAAATTAAAGGAAATACTCAGGGACTCATATAGTATAAGGAACTAAAACCTGGAGTGTTAATCACATGAGCTGATACTATTATATCAATATATTTTTATTAGTAAAAATATATCTATATTTTAAAATGCATTTTTATCAGAGAGGAAGGGAGAGGGAGAGAGAGATAGAAACATCAATGATGAGAGAGAATCATTGATCGCTGCCTCCTGCATGCTCCCACTAGGGATCGAGCCCACAACCCGGCCATGTGCCCTGATTGGGAATTGAACTGTGACCTCCTGGTTCATAGGTCTACATTCAACCACTGAGCCATGCTGGCCAGATAATAAAAAATATATCTTAAAAGAAAAGAATATTATGCTGAATGGAGGAAAGCAGACACAAATGAGTACATAGTGTATGATATTTATATGAAATGCTGGGGGAGGGGATCTAATCCATAGTGAAAGAAAGCAGAGCAGGGCATTAAAAAGGAATGAGGTGGTTACCTGGGGCCAAGAAGGGGATGAAATGGTCTCAAAGGAACTTTTGAGGTAATATAAGTACTCAATAGATGATACTTATGAGAGAGGGTATAGGGATAAACGGTGATGGAAGAATACTTGACTTGGGGTGGTGAATACACAATACAGTGTTCAGGTCATGTGTTGTGGCATTGAGCACCCAAAACCTGTACAATTTTGTTAACTAGTGTCACCCCAATAAATTCAATAAAAAGGAAAAAAAGAGTGGACATGGATATCACCTGTATTAGAAATATCACAGGAGCACAGATTATCACATGACTATGATTGTGTGTTGGACTAAGGAGTAATAGAGATCAAGGAAAATATAGACCCCTACCACTGGATATCTTGATTCTGAATGATCAACCAGCTTTTGAGAACCAAAATGGTATATACAATAGGAGAGTCAGGTTTCAGTTAAGATCAAAAGAGGAATGCGCATTTGGAGAAGAGGGTTAGAAGATAGGTGAATTTGCTTGTCATAGAGCAGCAGAGTTGGGGTGTTAGAAGATTTTGGAGAAAAATGTAGAAAGGGAATGGGGCACTGGGTCATATTTAGTAATGCACTTTGTAAAATATATTAAACCTGGCTGACAATAAATTAACAAAAATGCTTGCCCCTGTGGTGGTATCTGAGCTCAACAGGTTTATGAATTATGATTAATTCTGATTATCTATTGGGGAGAGTGTGTGCTCATTTTGAATACTGTAGTCTGAAACATTTTAGTTTTTGTATCCCTAAGACCTAATTCTGCAAGACACAGAATAGACAGTTAAAGCTAGGGAAAAGAAGAGAATAAGAACTATATTATTGACTAGAGACCTGCTGCACAAAATTTATGCACTCAGGGGGGGACCTCTTGGGGGATGTCTATGATGACTGCCGTCAGTCATCCCTCTCGCAGTCTGGGACCCCTTGCTCCTTACCGCTTGCCTGCTCACTGCTCCTTACTGCTCAGCTCACTGCTCCTTAGCGCTGTGGTGGAGGCGGGAGAGGTTCCTGCCACTACTGCTACACTCGCCAGCCAGGAGCCTGGCTTCTGGCTGAGTGGTGCTCCCCCTGGTGGGTGCACACTGACCACCAGGGTGCAGCTCCTACATTGAACATCTGCCCCCTGGTGGTCAGTGCGTATCATAGTGACCAGTCATTCCACCATTTGGTTGATTTTCATATGAGCCTTTTATTATATAGGATAATAACAACCTATAGTTACTATTAAAAAGTATATTATTCACTATGACAGAAGCAAATGTGGTGCATTCCATGGGCTATAGGCTGAGAAGAGCAGTTCCACTCATTACACATGAACTAGGTGCAGTGGTCACCAAACTTTCAGACCTCATGGACCACCAGTGGTCCACAGACCACCAGTTGGTGATGGTTGAACTAGGGGACTACTCCATTGTGTTCAGGTTTGAGAAAATAGTGACATTATCCATGGTCCTTACTCTCATGCAACTCATGGTTTGCTGTAACAGACTTGTTATTGAAGAAGTATACTACACTTTTAGAAGTGCTCAAAGGAAGTGAGGCAGGGCAGTCACAAAAACCTTTCTAGAAGAGTCTTGAAAGAGAAGCACTGGGTGACAGGCCTGTATCTCTTTTAAAATGCCATACCTCTTTGTCCATCCATTAAGTATACCAAATGCTTTACTGAGGATGCTAACAGCTTTGAGTAGCTAAGAGCACTTTACAAGATGACAGTTCTAATTAAGACCTAGAGGCCAGAGCTCTAAAAGTCTCTACTGAGATATGGCACAGAAACACTTATGTTTCAGAGTTTTTCTATCCATCCATTGGCATAGTGCTGTGAATATGTCAAGAGTGGACAACTGCATAAAGTGATAATCATAAATGAGGTAACTTGTTTCTCCCATGAATTACTCATTGCTTGTTGTGGTGAGTTACTGAATCTTGGATCCATTCTCAGAGCTTATAAGGCTATAAATTCAGATAGTTTGTTAATATGTACTAGCTATGTGGCTGATTCCTGAAAGGATGACTCTGCCTAATTTGTTCAAAGTTGCTCCTTTAGGGTATCTCTGTTTAAACTGTACTATCTCTTGCAGTATGGATTTTCATTTGTGTAGCAAATATTAGCAAGGTGATCAAGGAGGCAAGGTATGAGAGGAAGCCCCAGAGGCTGCAGTACACATGGCTAACTTTCTGGTGGAGTTAATAGGACTTATCTACTTTCTTTTTATATATAACATAGCTCACCCCATTTGGACTTCTTTCCATGCTCTATTTGATCTAGTTCATGAGGTTTACATTTCCATGCTCTTGAGCATACCAACACAAAGGTTTTGACTATTCTCCCTTCCCTAAGTCTGGATGACTTTGGATTACAGCAACTGCCTCATCACCATTCTGGGGGATGGAGAATATAGGGACTATTCATAGGAGAGAATAAAGGCACAAGGAAATTAAGATAATTACCTAAGATAAAAAGCAAGTAAGTGACAGAACTCAGGACTTCTGACTTCTACTACTGCTATCAATTATAAAAATATTATAATATTGTTTTAAATGTGTTTATAATCATATTTCTATAAATAGTCAGTAATTATGACAAGACTATTGTTAATAAAAATAGTAAAATTAGGGGTGATGTTAATTATAGAAGCTACTATTTATTGAGAGATTACCATGTGCCAGATATTGTGCTATGAGCTCTGCAAACATCACTGGATCCCCCAACAAATCTGAGTTTGGTATCATTGCACACAATTTACATATGATAAAACTGAGTCTGAGAGGGGTAAAACATCTTGTTCAAGGTCATATTAATAGTAAGTGGGATTGCCAGATTTTCAGTATATTTCATTCTGACTCTAAAATTTATATTGTTAACCACAACATTATAGAGATCAAATGTATATCTAAAATTTAAACAGATTAGAAAAAATAAATAGGGAGTGACGTCAGAGGAATGGCGGCATGAGAGAACCCCTTAGCCCCTCTCCCTGAAATTTCAACAAGTTAACCAACTATAATTCAACAAAGAAATCCCTGTTTAACACAGACACATGCCTAAGAGACCCACACATTGAAACATGTGGGCAATCAGGAATAAATAGGGAGCCAAGAAGGCAGGAAAGCACAGATGGCTCATAGCAACCTTGTAGGCTGGGAGCTCGTGGCTCAGCCTGGAAAGAGGAGAAAGCCAGTAGTAGCAAGTACTTCCTTCGCCAGGAGGAACAGAGATATGTGGCAGGAGAAGGGTGTATGAAGAGGGGAGGGGGGCAACCAAGCAGAGCAAGCAGCAAGGGAGCAAACAGTGTCTGAGTCAA